CTATTAACTTGGATTTGAATTTGCATGATTTATAATTTGTATCTAAATATGCAGCAAATATCTACAATAAGTCAGCTTTATTTGCTACTAGGATGCATTACTTCTTATTTCATTAAGATTACATTTATTTTTAGATTTTTAAGAAGTTATACATATTATTAATTTAGTTAATAATTAATTTAATATCACTATTAATGATGAAATGCCCATCATTATTAAAACTTAATGAAAGATGTTTAGCTTTTTTTTTTTAAGATTTTATTTATTTACTCATGAGAGACACACAGAGAATGAGAGAGAGAGGCAGAGGGAGAAGCAGGCTCCCTGCAGGGAGCCCAACATGGGACCCAATCCCAGGTCTTCAGGATCAGGCCCTGGGCAGAAGGCAGCGCTAAACCGCTGAGCCACTCGGGCTGCCCAGATGTTTAGTTTTAATGCACAATTTCCTCTTCCACTTTATCCATTGGACTGATTATAAGACCAATTCACCTTCAGTATTTGAAACATACATGAGACTATTCCTCTGTTGTGGATAATTGTTTCAGTTGTGAATATTATATAAGCAAGGAGAGAAAATATGGTTTAAATGTTCTGACTTAAAATACTTTGCATCTTATGAATATTATGTGCAGAATGCCTCAGTATTTTATTCCCTGTTCTCTCTTTACATTTTATATATTTAGTGCTCATTGTTATGTTTCTTGAAATAAAATATCATATAAGTTCTGCCATAAATGTTGAACCAGCTTTATAAAAGTGGTCTTGCTTAAAACTACAGAATTTGTCTGGGAGTCACACGGGAAGGTAGGAATGTGTCCGGGCAGCTCTCAGATGCATGCCCTCAGCCCTTTCTTGAGAGCACGATGCATGTCTCTGTAGTTTCTCAATTCCTCTTGCAGTTAGATAGCACAAGTTACTTGCATCTGGTTTTCAACTCCATTCCCAAACAGGGTCCATGGCTATAAGGAGTGGAAAAGCAGGATTACTATTTATTCCTCCCACTGTGTAATCTATAAAACTCTCTAAGCCAAGCAAAGTCTTGTAGGCATTGAAGGTCAAAACAGCAACATAGATACATTCATTGATAGTGCTAGTGTTGCTTGGGTAACAAGAAATCTAGACAACAGGCAGCCAGAAATCTTAATCTCATTAAAGAAACTAGCTGATAGCAAATTGGAAATATTTGATTTTGTATATCTGGTATTTTGAGTCCATTCACTTAAGGTTTTTTTTTTCTTCTTAAGACTATATCTCCAAAGGATATTGAAATTTTATGCTAAGTTTAACTGATATGAGAGTTATGGCTGATATGCTTAGACTCCGGTTGGTAGAGACTCTGCTTCTTCTCACATTGGGCTTCTGAGATCTCCCTCGGGGTTGTCATCCACCTGCCAAATGAGGAGGTGAGAATGTGGAGGATGGTGCAGGGGGTCTAAAGGAGGATTGTGCAACTCTGGGAGGGGTTATATATATATATATATATATATATATATATATATATAATCTTCCGCTTAGGTTCCATAATCTATCTTGTGGTCTAACCAAGTGAAAAAGGTGTGAGAAAATGAGGTCTTCAGGGGGGTGACCATTTTCCAAAAACAACACTTTTTCATGAAAAGGCAGCATTAGTTTTTGGTGATTCACTTCTCTACTAAGAGTGAATGTGATTGCCATTTTCAAACAACAATGAAAACTGTTGTTAGAGTATGGTATTGAAAACAAGGCTATTTTTAAAAATGGAAACTAGGAGGCATCTGGGTAGCTCAGTCAGTTAAGCCTCTGACTCTTTTTTTTTTAAGATTTTATTTATGTATTCATAGAGACACACACAGAGAGAGAGAGAGAGAGAGAGAGAGAGAGAGAGAGGCAGAGACACAGGCAGAGGGAGAAAAAGGCTCTATGCAGAGAGCCTGACTTAGGAATCGATCCAGGGTCTCCAGGATCACACCCTGGGCTGCAGGTGACGCTAAACCGCTGCGCCACCAGGGCTGCCCACCTCTGACTCTTGATTTCAGATCAGGTCACGATCTCAGGTCATGATCTCAGGGTTCAGCCTGAATTGGTCTCTGTGCTCTGCGGGGAGTCTGCGTGAGGATTCTCTCTCCCTCTCCCTCTGATCCCTCTCCAACTCACTCTCTCTCTCTCTCTCATATAAATAAATCTAAAAAAAAAAAAAACAACCCAGAAACTAAATACTATTAATTTGTAATTGAGTAAGTTTAGGACTAGCAGGGTTTTAGAACTAGAGGGGTTGCTATGTCATGAAATAGAATCCCATTTAGATGATTAAGGAGATATTCTTAGATTTCAGAAATTCAGAACAGTTGTTCCCCTTTTTTACTTCTGGTGATTATTTTTAAGTGAAGAGATAAAAATCCCTCTTTCTGCAGTAGCTTAAATAAAATTGCTAAGCAGAATGATAGTTTTATTTAGAAGATATATACAACACATCTTTTTGTGTTAAAATGATTATATAAATATTCTATGATGCTAAAATAAATTACTGTGATTAAGAATAACTATGTCCTCATATACTTTGCAAAGTATTTCTAGGTCTTTATGCCACTTGGGCCCCTCGATGACCCTTTGAGAAAGTTAGAATAGGTATTTTTAGCTCTCCTTTTGGACAAGGAATATAATAGAGAGTTGGCGTTTTTGTTTGTTTGTTTTAAGATACTCATAGAGTTTAAATGGCTATCTCAAAAGCCTTTAGATAATAAAGGTTAGATGAGTGAGAACTGTAACCATTATGGTGCTGTTTTCGTGACCCATAGTGATACCTATCCAGACACTGGGAAGGACCATTATTGTAGATTTTTCAGTTTGTACAATCTATACACATGACCACAGATGCAGATAATGTGAGCATCACCAAGGTGACTGAAATGACAGATCAGCATTGCTGGTTTTTTCATTTTGCTGGTGCAGGCATATTTTGTGTATTGGCTTTTAAATATTTATAGGATAGAATTCCAAGAGTGGACAGATATTATGCGTTTTTTCTTTTAATCCACAAGGCGAAAGTCATCAAAACTGTAGCTTCAATGTATGTATTTCTAAACAAACCCAGATCTATTTCTACTATTTTCAAGAACTGCTTTTATTTCGTACAATTGACTTTTCATCCTTTATTCGTTGCCTCTTTATTGAGTTTTTATTGCCTAGATTGTTCAGTACAGAGATAAAAGACAAGGCCCCTTTACTCAAGATCACAGTCTCATGAGATACAGACCGAGAGGAAGCTGAGAATTCTTATAGTCTAATAAAGGTGAAGAAAGAAGGGAGCCTTATAAGCCCTGGGAAGAGAGGTTAACAGCCTTGGGGAGGATGGAGAATGGGTGGTGTAGAAGTGTTCTGGAGGAGGTCATATTTGAATTGATTCTGGAAGGATGAGTAAGAGTTCAAGTGGACATGTATTGCTTTTTAAAATGTAAAATAAGTCTAAAATATTATATCCACATCTGGGCTTCAGAAAAAAATATTTAAAGGACAGCTCAGTAGAAAGTCATTAACACTGGGAAACAAAAGTAATAAAAACTACTAGGTGCTAAAGTCAGCATGAAATAAATATGGTTAGATTCATAATGAACTTGAACTTATGTACTTCCTCACTTATTGTGACCTACATATATTTCTTGATTTGTAAAGTTTATCCTTTTCTTTAACTCTGTCCCTGTTCTGACTCTAGTTATCCTAAATGAAATATGTCCATACACCCACTGTGAGGCACTTATTATATGTATTTTTTTCTTATAAGTATATAAATATTATGTATGTTAGTTGATTATTTATGCCTAGTCTCATTGTATCAGCCCTCATCTTTCATAGATTTCTGTAGCACTTACATTTCTGTGGGTTTTTTTTTTTTTTCATTATTCCCAGGGCAATATAGATTGCCTACCTAGATGTCATCCATGTTTGCAAATTTTGACTTTGTATGTGAAAACAAAAACCTTTATCTAATTTTCTTTTAAGAGAGATAAATTCTTATCTTCTGAAACAGTTTATTAGGAGTGCTGCATGACTGTAGGAGAGAAAGGGAAAGATAGAAAGATAAAGCACAAGTCAAATTTATTTGAGTTGTCCACAGTGAGCAATGATGAACTTCTCGCTGTTCTTGATTTTCTTGAAGCCAAAATGCTCCATGTTTTCTAAAATCTTCACATCCTCTTTCACTTTGCCAAAGACCTTATGCTTGCCATCAACCACACAGTCTTAGCAGTGCAGGTGAAAAACTGGGAATCATTTGTATTGGGTTTAGTATTTGCTGTGGGCAAGATGCCAGCCAGGACCTCTATGTTTTGGGATAAAGTTCTCATCAGCAAATTTCTCCCCATGGATAGACTTGCTACTAGTGCCATTATGGTGTGTGAAATCACCACCTTGACACATAAATTCCCAAATAATTCCGTGAAATGTGGAACCTTTATAACCAAATCCCAGTGTTCGGAATGCAAAAGGTTTCTGCAGTCTTTGGAACTTTGCAAATAGCGTGAAGGCGATGCAATCTAAGGGCTTGTCCTTGACTGCAATGTTCAAGAACAGGATGGATTGACCTTGGCTGGGTGGCAGCATTGTTGGTGGCATCTGCAAAACCTCATTGGTCCTCTTTTTGAAGATTGAAGTGCTTCTAGAATTCCCCGAATAGCATCATATGCTGTCTATAAGAAATCAGAAACCATGAATGTTTTTTTACTGGGTATGTATAAATTCCTGTGTCAGCTATCTCTTGATGCTCTTCATTATTATAAGTACTGTGGCGAACTAGTAATGTTTTGGGAACTGCAGGCTGTGTAGAGCTCAGGGACTCTGGAGTTCTCCAGAGGAGGAGGCATCTCCCTGAGAGGCACAATTGAGTCACTGGGAGTTTTCACAGGCGCCTTTCTGGCTATGTGAGAGGGCCTTCATTAGTATTAGCATTAGCATCATGCTTCATTTTCTTTTTAAAAATTTTTTTATTTTTAATTTGTTTTTATTGAAGTTCGATATGCCAACATATAAAAAATACAGAACGCTTCATGAATTTGCATGTCATCCTTGTGCAGGGGCCATGCTAACCTTCTCTGTTCGTTCCAATTTTAGTATATGTGTTGCCAAAGCAAGCACCATCCTTCATTTTCAAACATAATTTTAAAGTGGAAGTGTTTACCTGTGTAAGGTGAGGATTTAAGAGCACACCATCATGAACAATTGGCCTCACAGTTCTAAAAGCATGATCATAGTCTTATTTTAATGGACTTCATGTAACAAAGCTCAAAAACCTCGGAATATTAATCTTTTACAAAACGGTATTTAGAAAAGAAGAACATTGTATGTCTCCAAAAGACACTGAAACAGAAGTCAAATGACCTGAGCTGGAAAGGAAAGTAACATTTATCTGCATATGGGCCTTTACCTCTGCTAGTGGAACACAGTAGTTCATTGACCTGCTACAATTGTTACACAGACATAATTAGCACCCTACTATACAAATGTGTAAACTGAGGCCCAGAGAAGTTGGATGACTGTATCCCGAATTGGAATACAGGCTTTTCTGGCTCTCCTGTGTATGGTGTCACCTGTCAGTTCTGCTTAAATGCATCATTTGATCTTTCTCAGCTATAGTTCTCATAGTTAATTATCACAGCGTAATGAACTACCCCAACACTTAATGCTTAAAACAACAATAATTTAAATTCTGTCATGCTCCACTAGACTCCATTAGCTTTCTTATAGTGTAGTCTTAGGACAGCATTCCAAGAAGGTGAAAATGGAAGTTGTAGGATGTCTTAAGGACTAGGCTCTAGAAGTCCCACGGTGCCACTTCACCACGTTCTTTTAGTCCAAGCAAGTCATAAGGCCATCCCAGGTTCAACAGGTGGAAAATAGATTTTATCTCTTGTGGGAAGAATTGCAAATATTCTATGACCAACTTAATCAGCCACTATTCTTTTCCGATTTTGCTTTTTAAGATGTATTATGTTGCACTATTACCAAAGCATTTAAAAATGTTAGAATGCAGATTTAGATTCTTAAATGTGTCTTCTAATTTTGTCCTACTTTATCACTGTGAAGGAGCTATTTGAAAGAAGAAAATGAGTGTGAAGGTACCTTGAAAGCCTATAAATAGAACCCTCTGTAAGCTAAGGTGTTATTAAGATTTCTAGAAGATGCTGGGATTTATAGTTGAAAGGTGTTTTTAATAGATTAAAAATAAATGAAAGAGAGATTTGAAACAAAATCTATTTCATAGGGCATAGAAATTTTCCTCAAGACTTGGAAGCATTATTGGTTTTTTGAAATGTAATAAAATGTGATTTTTAAAAATTAAATGTTTTGTTGCTTGTGTGTGTAGAATCAAGCAACGAGTAAAAGTTGTGTGAAGTCAAAGTCTTGCCATCTTTTGGGTAGTTAATAGTATTAGACCCAGATACTCCCACACCAAGAAGTCTGTGGAATCATATTATGGACATGGGATCATCCTGACTAATGCAGAAATGCCAGATAACTCAATCCCAATTCCTCCTTCTAAAATATAATTCCTTTTGGCATCTCAAAATATTGTTGCAGTGTGCAAAAATGAGTTCTAAAATGAGAAACTGCAATGGTGCTACAAAAAAGATACGGGATTTCTTTTCTAAGGGAGGGCTGAGTGAGATGTTGGGACTTTATTTAGGAAGAAGTTCTTAAAAATTAACAACCTTCAGAGATGCAGGTTTCCAATTAGGGAATGAAGAAGTCATGAGAATAAAAGGTACAGCATAGGGAATATAGTGAATGGTATTGCAATAGCATTGCATGGTGACAAATGGTGGTGAGCATAGCACAAGTGTGAGCATAGCATAATGTATACAGTTGTTGAATCACTATATTTTATGCCTGGAATTAATGTTAAATTGTGTTTCAACTGTGGTCAAATTGAAAAAATGTATTGATGTGTCAAAAAGGATTTATAAGCTGGTCACCATGACCCTACTTCCCATACTCACATAAGCTGCTTGCCTGTGTGAGGTACTGAGTTTGAAAAGGTGACAGAATTATGGCTGAACAGAGCCAAACTCCCTGATGTTTAATAACTAAAGAATCTGGGGGCTGCTACTGGGCATATCAATGGTACATTAGTGACAAAGAGTGGAGACTCTCTGGTGTCAGGGTGCAAAGTGAAGAGATGAACGTAAGAGTTCATGTATCTGCCTCCTGATCAAGCTCTGAATAAGTGATACAGATTCGGTCTGTCTACGAACCATACCATAAAAGCTGATTTGGGCAGTAATACTTCAGCACAGATTGCACCTGCTGCTCTTAAAATGCTGCTTATCAGGCATCTTTAGGAGCATTATATTGATATCCAGTCCAAGACAGCCTGAAATTTTGACTTCTCTTAATATTTCTGTAACTGTTTGATGGGCATTAAGGAGGGCACGTGATGTAATGAGCAGTGGATGTTATATAAGACTGATGAATTACTGACCTCTACCTCTGAAACCAGTAATATGTTATATGTTAATTGAGTTTAAATAAAAAATATTCCTGTAAAACTACTTCAAAGAATGGAGAAGAAGAATTATAACTCCAAACTGCCTTGAATTCCAAATTCAGAAATTAAGGCAAACTGAAGAGTAGTCCAATTCTTTGATCGAATTTTGGGTTGGTATGGTCTTTATAAGATGTAACACTTGGGATCCCTGGGTGGCGCAGCGGTTTGGCGCCTGCCTTTGGCCCAGGGCGCGATTCTGGAGACCCCGGATCGAATCCCACGTCGGGCTCCCAGTGCATGGAGCCTGCTTCTCCCTCTGCCTATGTCTCTGCCTCTTTCTCTCTCTCTCTGTGTGTGACTATCATAAAATAAAAAAAAAAAAAAAAGATTTAAGATGTAACACTTTATCTATATATATATTTTAAAGGTTGTGAATTTTATTGTGTTTGTCATTGTTAACTTTTTCTCAGAGTGAAGTTATGATTTTCACACCAGCTGGCAACTTTAAGATTGATTAGGAAGAAAAATTATCAAATGATGGTAGTTCAACTTTCTGAAACAAAGAGATGAAATAGATGAACATGGATAATTTTGAAAATTGTCCAAATTAGCTTTAAATAATAGTAGCTAACATTATTGAGTGCTTATTATGTGCCAATATATTAAGAATTCCACATTAATTAACTAATTTATCCCTATTAGACAGCCCAGCTTCATAGATGAGGAAATTGCAGCATAGGGAGGAAATAAAACTTTGTCTAGATTCACAGAGAATCTAGACAAACTGTTTCTGGCAGTTTTATTTCCATGTCTGCTCTTATTTTTTTTAAAGATATGTGTATATATATTTTTAAAGATTTTATTTATTTATTCATGAGAGACACAAAGAAGCAGAGACACAGGCAGAGAGAGAAGCAGGCTCCCTTGTGGGGAGACCGATGTAGGACTCGATCCCAGGACTGCAGGATCATGATCTAAGCCCAAGGTGGACGCTCAATTGCTGAGCCACCCAGGTGTTTCACAATGTCTGGTCTTAATCATTCTCTTCTACCGTCTCTTGGCTTATCTCTGTCAGACATGCATCCAATCTCCAATGGATTTCCCAAAGGCCTGGGTAATGGATTTTGTAGAATTGTCAAAACCCAATTATTATGCATCTGTTATCTTAATCTATAAGAATTTGTGATAAGGTGTTCAGATGGCTGCTGTTTTGTGGCACTAGGTTGGGTACTTTTAGAAGCTTTAGAAAATCTTTCAGGTTATTAAATTACCATTTCAGCCACAAATATATGCTTTAATTCTCTATAAGCTTTCAGGTTATTAAATTACCATTTCGGCCACAAATATATGCTTTAATTCTCTATATTTAGTCCCAAACTCATTATTTGTACAAGAAATAATTTGCTATTTTGAAATTCTGCTCATTATGTAATAGTATTGACACATTCATTGAAGCTTCAGATAAAAGTCTTCTGTCCTCTCTTCTATCACCTTATTGTCCAGGCACTATGTGAGCACACTGGCTGAATTATCGCAGGCATGCAACAAATCTTCACTGAATGAAAGACAGTGACTTCACCCTAATTGTTCTTCATTTGAAAATTCACTGAAATTTGTTGCTTCCTTTTTTTAGTAATAGAGCTTGTAGCAAAAATGTCAACTCTATGATAACCAAGAACTTAAGTGTTTGGAATTCACTGTGATTCTTCTTTGATGAAAATCTGTCTCAAATTCATAATTAATTCAGCCAGTGTTTATGTTGGACCCGAGTGTATAATGAAACTTTCATAAATGAATAGAACTTCTTTAGCTTCCTTAGTTGGTTGTTTTTGTTTCTCTTTTCAATTAATGATGATAAATTTTCCTGGTGAACATATGGCCAACATACTAAATAAACGTGTGTGTGTGTGTGTGTGTGTGTGTGTGTGTGTGTGTGTGTCTTAAAGATTTAATTTATTTATTTGAGACAGAGAGTGCACATGAGAGGGGGCAGGGTGCAGAGAGGAGGGGGAGGGGGAAACAGACTCCTCACTGAGTGGGAAGCTGGATGCTGGGCTCAAACCCAGGACTCAGAAATCATGACTTAAGCCAAAGGCAGACACCTGACTGACTGAGCCACCCAGGTGCCCCACATTAAATAAATATTTAAATTAAATTGCAATTGAAGTAATTGCAAATAAAAGTCATTTTCTCTGCTTATTCTTTTTTTTTAATTTTGTTTATTTATTCATGAGAGGCAGAGAGAGAGAGAGAGAGAGAGAGAGAGAGAGAGAGAGAGAAAGAGAGGCAGAGACACAGGCAGAGGGAGAAGCAAGCTCCATGCAGGAAGCCCGACGTGGGACTCGATTCCGGGACTCCAGGATATCATGCCCTAGGCCGAAGGCAGCACTAAACCGCTGAGCCATCCGGGCTGCCCTTCTCTGCTTATTCTAATATATCTGCAAGTCATATCCTATTGAATTCCTCTGTGATTTAAAAAGAATAGTTTCTGGGATCCCTGGGTGGCGCAGTGGTTTGGCGCCTGCCTTTGGCCCAGGGCGCGATCCTGGAGACCCAGGATCGAATCCCACGTCGGGCTCCCGGTGCATGGAGCCTGCTTCTCCCTCTGCCTGTGTCTCTGCCTCTCTCTCTCTCTCTCTGTATGACTATC